ATGTTTAGAATGAAACCATCATATTTAAAAACATGATATTAATCATATCATATAATAAAATATAATTTGTTGTTACTACTGTAAATATATATTCAATTATTATTGGCTCTCCTTCAATATTTTCATAATCTTTACTTATTTACTTATTAAAATGATTTTAAAATATATTTTTTATATTAACATATTTTAATGACAGTATATTTTTTTCAAAATAATCTGAAAATAGTACAAACTTTGCTAAAGTTTTTGTTTTGAACAAGTATTAACTTAGACATTACTTAAAAAACATTATTTTAGTGAAGTGACATGTGGCCAAGTATGGTGACCCATACTAGGAATTAGTGCTCTGCATTTAACCCATCCAAAGTGCACACCCGGGGAGCAGTTGTGGGTTCGGTGCCTTGCTCAAGGGCACCTCAGTCGTGGTATTGAAGGAGGGAGAGAGCGCTGTACATTCACTCCCCCCACCTACAATCCCTGCCGGTACGAGACTCGAACCCACAACCTTTGGGTTATGATCCGACTCTCTAACCATTAGGCCACGACTTCCCACAGCTGAATTAGCTGAATTATTTGTATCAATACCGTGGGCCTTTTACCCCGTGTGTGGGGGAAAAGGTCCCTCTTGCCACCTCATACGTTTATAAGATTTTTAAACAAAATAAAGAACTTGAATGATTTATATTCACACAAAATCTGTTGCTCCATTAGTCTTCAATACAACGTATATATATTTTAAAGCAATTATACATTTTAGGCGCAGTGAATAGCACATTTCTTTCTTAAGGTGGGCCTTTAGCCCCGTTGTACCCTATATATATTTCTCACAGCGAGTGTCATAGCGGATGCCCAAATCCAATATAATTAAAAAAAATACTGTTTTGTGTCACGGAATGTAGTTTTAAGCGATTTTTAGGCTAGAATGTACTTGTTTGGACGGTTTGTCAATAAAGAAAATATCTATTTGAAAATTTGCTTCGACGTTTTCGGAGATGTGAGTTCCAGGACTTCAGCGGCCTTTCAGTGCTCATGAACCCGCCGAGAGCGCCTCACCTCGGCCAGATCTTCTGGAATTTACCACTGACTCTAATGTCTCTGTAGTGGTTAAACATGATATAACTTGTTTTGAGTAAGTCTAATGGTTGTCTTTGGTCTCATTAATCTACTATTTGTTCCAGAGAAATAGTTTTGGCAAAATCTCATCACGTTATGTAACTTAAATGCTGTATATCAGAGCACTGTCTTTGTACTTGACTGAAGAGCCTATCTGGTGGCAGAAAATTACAGTTTTCAATTATACAGCAGTCTATGGAAGCCATGTAATAAAAGAATAATAATAAAGGTAAATTTGAGTTTATATTTTAAAATTCTGACTTTATTTTCACAATTCCGAGATTATATCACAATTCTGATAAGAAAAAACAGCTTGTCATTCTCTCTTTTCCCCTCACTCAGAATCATATATCTCTGACTCCTGGCTTTTTTTTCCTCAGAAATGACAAACTCGCTATTGTTGCGCTAAATCGAGTTATAAAGTCCGAACTAGGAGATATAAACTTGCATTTGTGAGAAAAAAGTCAGATTTTACTATAGTATTCAAATATATTTAGACCTATTGTTTAAATCAAATTTATGCTTTGAAAGTAATCATTGCAGTTTTCATCCATAGTCTGTCCGTTTAAATGGCTTTTTTGATGACAGTAGGCCTATTCTATAAAAATCTATACGGATTTGTATTCCGATTCTGACATCCAAAGGCACAACATTTTTTTCTTTCTTTCTCTTATTCCATGGATTTACCCGTTTTCCTCCAATTGTTACCAGTTTTTTTATGCCAACAGTATGTGCATGCAGCTGCAGGTGACATAACTGTGACGTCTACTCCGAATTGGTCTATAGCAGCCGGGTGGGCAAACTTTTTGACTCAAGGGCCACATCAAGTTTTCCACATCAAGTGAGGGGCTGCATTATGTATGACAAATGAAGCTTTGATTTTTTTATTCTAAATTGACACTCACTTACTACTGTACTGTATGTATACTTGTACATACATAGCAGTTCTAGTCTTATGAGCACTTTATGACACACAGATAAGCTGAAACAACATACACAACTACCAAATTTTGCTACAAGTTTGATTGCAACATATAATTATTGCTGTCAATAGTGTTCTGTCTGTTTGATTACGTCATTAACTAAATGTTACCATACATTTCTGCCATATGAACGTCAATTTGACATAGTCACCACTGATAAGCTACTACTAAATATATTGTAGAAACGTAATTTTCTGTAAAGCTACTTTGCAACGATTTGTATCGTGAAAAGCGCTATACAAATAAACTTGAATTGAATTCATTGTTCCACCATTAGATGGTGACAAGAGACTGTTTTACGAGTCAGCAGTAAAGACTTTTATATTGAAAAAGACCGAAATGGAAGTTATTTTTACTTTTAACATCAGCTTGTAAGACGCAACCAACAAATGAACTGAGCAGCTCTGTCATCGGACATCACCCTTAACAGATGAAAGAATATGAGCCTATCGGACATTCAAACTAATGTTTTATTGTGAATATGAGATTGAGCTGAAGAATGAATGCTGTATCAGATGCCGGTAATCACATTTGTTCAGTCAATCTCTCTCTCATAATACTCTACTACACATAATACACTGCTTTTAATACAGTACAATACGCTTTTAATGAAGCAAGCAACTCAACGTTTCTTCATTACTAGTTCTAAAGTAATGGAGGCATGGGCTCAGCTGTTAAACTGCCAACTTTAGATTTGAATCTGTGGTGGAAGGAAGTAGTTCTGCACAAAAGACAGCTTTTAAAGATACTCCGTTGTTGTTCCTAATTTATTTACACACTCATGCCGTCAAACTGTTGTATAAACGCAACTGCACGCTGTGATTACCTACAGCACGATATACAGCATCTCATGTCTACTCGTGTGATATTGCTCAGATAACACAACTTACATGCACTGGAACCCATTTGTTTATGTTTCAGTCAGGGAAAGTCTTGATAGCTTCAGTTCCTTAACTATGGATAAAATAAAGGATAGAAATGACAGAATATTTCTTCAGTCCAACAACCAGTATAAAAACCTGTCCTAACGACTGTGTTGTAAAATCACCTGAAAAGTGGGGAACAAAAAGCTAATTTATGCAGCATGCACTGAATAAACTGTTGATTTAAATTATTAAATTAATATTATGTAGCTCTACTCATTTTATACAAGGGCCTATAAGTGTAATTTTTGACACCCATTTTCCAGGATAGCTGATATGTAAATCAATACTGATAAATAATCAGTTAGTACACTGTAAAAAACAAATCAGTAAAATGGACGGTATAAAACCGGCAGCTGTGGTTGCCGGAATTTTACAGTAAAAAATACGGTAGCAACATTTTAGGTTTTACGATTTTAACTTAAATTTACAGTTAAATACCGTAACCAATATAATGTTAATATACCAACCTATTGAAGTACAGAAATCTGTTTTGTAACTTTGTAATGCACTGATAACCACTGAATGCAGGAGGTGATGAGAAAGTCACGTGATGAACCAAAGCCCATCACAAGCAGCTTTTAAATAATAACATATATATAAGGTGCACAGTGTCATTCACACAAACACTAAACACCATCATAGTAACACACATTTAACAACAACCCTAATATACAAAACTGATAAGAAAAAACTAAGAAGAAACATAGTTATTTCAATAAAAAAAACATCAAATTTGAAATGTAACGCAGGGAATTCTGGAAATGTCAATTTACGGTTATTCACTGTAAATTATATGAAAAATAGTTATATTTTTCACTTCCAAAAACGGTATACTACCGTAAAATTACATGTAATGTCCAATACAGTTTTTCACCGTATATAGTAGGATAATTTACCGTTAACCATTTAAGAGGTTTTTACTGTGGCATTTTTACAGTCTTTTACCGTTAAATTCACGGTCATTTTTTACAGTGTAGGTGAATTGATTAAAACAACAGTTAAGTTTATTAAGCTGTTTCGTTAGGAAGTGCTAGAATGTCCAACTCAAATTGCATCTGCTTTGGTATATTAAAGAAGAAAAAAGACCTGCTTGTCAAAATACTTCCAATTGCTTGTAAAGATACTTTCAAAATGCAGCACTCTCATTTGATCAAATCACTGCAATATGTACGAATAATATACAGTAAATTAAATGTAAAAGAAAATATATAATAGAATTATATTTACTTACATCAGTTTTCCCTCAAAGTGAATTAGAGTTGCTGTTTAGGCCGAGTATGGGTTCACAAACCAGGAAGTGTTACAACACTGCTGGAGATGGAAAATTTTACGCCTTCATCAACATATGGACGAGAGATGAGATAAAGTCCAACATTCATCAAGAAGTTTTAGTTTGGACATCATCTCTCTTTTCCCCATCTTCTCCTAAGTCATGTGACTCGATTGGGCCCTGTTAGACAGACAAACAAGTCTGAACTGCAATGTTATCACGCTTCACATTTCACTAGTGCATCCAGCGATGAAACCTGTGACTCTGTTGTTATGCTACATGACTCGCATGCGACAAAATAGCTTTCACCATGTAATGTTTGTCCGATCATTGTTATATTCATAATATTTCCATATCCTGGGATGACTGTATAACCTTCCAGACAGAGTGCAACAACTCTGTGATTTGTGGACAATATATTTAATCAAACAAATGAACAATCGTATTCTTCAAACTGTGTTTGCACTGCAGTTCATACAAATGTTTGCTGTATCTCAGGTTTAACTATGTCACTTGAACAGATTTCACAAAATACAAATAAATTGCATGCAAATATCCGGAAGGGCATTGGGAAGGTGCCTTTAATTTATTTACATTTTGTGGTGTATTTTGAAGACCCATCTTATGTTGGGGACCTAATGCGAGCACTGGCTCCAAAGTAACTAACGTATTAACAGAATTACATTGACTTACATCAGTCTTTTCCCTTCAAGTGAATCAGAGCTGCTGTTTAGACCGTGTATCCGTTTTCATAAAACACAGTTCTGGAAAAAAAAAAAGATCTTCCTTAAAAATTTGCCTCCTTTCATCAATCGAATGATGAGGGATGAGATAAAGTCCAAATTTCATCAAGTAGTTTTACATTCTGCTTAAATCTATTATTATCAATGTAGCACTGAAATATTGATAATCATGATTCTTATGCTCTTTTGCTCATGTCTGTACAGAAACTGCACCTGCAGAACATCCGTTGCTCTTTTCCTGTTTTGTTCTCAGTCATGTGACTTGTGGTCTACAAAAATAGCAACACTAAATGTATGAACTAGACAGAGGAAGATATCACGTTTCATGA